CCACTGTTTAGTCATTAAATCCCTGAGGTGGGGTACCTCAGTTTCCCTTCTTATACAGCAGACCAAGTTTATAATGTTTTTCCTGCTGTGTTAAGCTTTAAGTTTATTTACAGGTAATAGCTGAGACGCATCATTACCATATGACCTTAAAGGGTTTTTCCAAAAATCATTCACACTATATCTTGTTACAGGGGTACTTTTTATCATTACATGTATTAAAATTCTCTTGTGATCCCATGCCTTTTATGTAGACAGTTTGTTTGCTGACCAGGTGTGTCCTTTATCTGCAGCTCCTTTGTGCTACTAGTTCTTTCCTTCCTTTATCGTTTAGGTCATTTGCATTTTCACAGCCGCTTCCTGCTTTTGGATTTAAAGCCCTCAGCAGCTCAGAGACTCTCTCTTAAAAGGGACACAATGAACTTTCACCAGAGTTTTGATCACTTTTAACTTCTGCTTCCAAAACACACAGCAATCTGAAAAAGAAATCCCAACCTATTGTGGCTCCCTTTGGAGCCCGAATAGCATTTTAATTAAGTAGCATGGTATGTTTGCATTTCTTTTGCCCCTTCTACAATATACCCTGCACATGTTCTGGGGCAAATGCACATTCCTTCCATCAAAAAAAGAAAAGGAGTACTTGTGGCACCTTAGAGACTAACCAATTTATTTGAGCATGAGCTTTCGTGCATCGTTTAACTTCTAGAACATTATCCAGATCCATTTTTACTTTAGGTGTCATTATTTCTTTTTTTGCTTACAGAGTTTTCATGTACCTTTATCAAAGTGACAGTCTGATTACTCAGAGCCATTTTAAGACTCAGTGTTTCTAACATTGCTTCTTTTTGTTTTGTGCACCTCACCTCTGCTGTTGCTTCAGAGGGGCACTGTCTTTTTTATTATTATTTTTTTACTACAGCTCTCATCTGCTACTTTGTTACAAAAACAAAGAAACAAACAAAAACCAACCAAACAAACAAAAAGAATCCAGAATTTTTTTTTTATTCTCCGGATTTTGACTGCCCTGCTGCAGCCACAACTTAAAAACATTTTAAATTTTGTAAACCATTGAGCTACCTTTTAAGGGTAAAATGCCAAATCCCAAAGCTAAACAACACTAATCACCTGTGTCTAGCAAAAAGGTCTGTCAGTTTTGCAACTTTGAATTAAAGAGTCAAATGGATTTTTAGTGGCATTATTTAAAACAAAACAAAACCATTTCATATTTATTCACACATTCATTCATACATACACACACACACACAGGTTCTGCAAGGTTGTTATCATAGTTACCAGCCAAACTTTACATATTTACACACACACACACACAGATACATACACATTTTCTTTTCCTTAACATCCCTTCCACACTGCTCTGTTTTTACATCGTTCATTCCCTTTATACATTTGAGGCAGTTAAGTTCCAATAGAACCCCCTTATGTTCTTTTAGCAAATTTGACTAATTGTCCAGTCAAATGATTTTAATCAGATAGTTTATTTTTGCCTGGCTAATTTACAGACATTCCTTTGGAAAAGGGCCCATTTTTCCTTCAGAATTGCTGCAAAGAAACCAAGAATGCTCTTTCTCTAATACTTTTCCTTTTTAATATTTTCACAAAGTTTAGCTGCTTAATTCCCTCCAGCCTCTGCAGAGTTAACTTTTTCTCTTTGTAATTCTGCCTGGGGGTGCTGTACATAGGACCTTCTCCCCCTTCACTCGCTGTAATGGCTGCTACCTGTTTAGAGGGAAAGCCCAATTTTTGTCTCAGACTCTTAATTAGTGATTCACAACTACTATGATTTGCAGGTGCTCAGCCCTGCTTCAAGGTTAATTTCTTTACCATACCTTGGAGCACATGATTCTCTCTTTCAATTTTCTCAAAAAGAAAAGGCGTACTTGTGGCACCTTAGCGACTAACCAATTTATTTGAGCATGAGCTTTCGTGAGCTACAGCTCACTTCATCGGATGCATACTGTGGAAAGTATAGAAGATCTTTCCACAGTATGCATCTCTAAGGTGCCACAAGTCCTCCTTTTCTTTTTGCGAATACAGACTAACACGGCTGTTACTCTGAAACCTGTCAATTTTCTCAGAGGCTTCAGCTTGGTCTGCCAGGAATCTTTCTCTCTGTTTGCATTCCTGGAGTGCTTCTTTCACTATTTTCAGCTGACTCTGGGTATTTGTAGCCGGCACCTTCCAATTGTCTGCTCCCTTTTCCGTTTGTGCCTTTTCCTCTTTACATGAAGACAAGCGGAGGGAAGAATCCTTACATGCCTCCCACAACAACCAAATTGCTGCTGCATCTCTTTTGGCAGCACCAGAAGGTTTGTATATGAGGATATACTGAGCCAATCTATCCTCTAGGTCTGAAATAGTGCAGACATCGGCTAGGGCTTGTTTAGTCCAAGGACTGTGCCCAAATTTTTGAAGGATTTGTTTAAAAGGTGTAATTTCTTTAACAAAAGGTGAGGTTGGAGTTCCTTCTGACTCCATTCCTCCCTCTGGTACTGGCTTACCCTGTTTTCTTTTAAACATCTTAACATGGATATTTCAATCTCTTTGTCACTCCTGGTATTACTTAGCAAGTGACACAGCCTAGATTCTGAAATTGTAGCTTATCAAATTTCCTCGTCACACCTGGCACAGGTCAGCGAGTGACACAGCCTAGATTCTCTGAACCTGCTCCTCCTTATTCCACCGAGTAGCTTAGCCTGGCCCTTAGGCCTTCTTGCTGCCCCTGATACCTCAGTGAGCAATAGGACTTAGGTTTAGTAATCGTAGCTTAATCTATGCATTTTTCCCCTGCTACCTTCCCGGAGGCCAGCAGGTCTGGTTAACCTAATAGAAATGCCTAGCTCAATAGAGCTGGCGGTGTGCACACCAATATTTACAATAACTGAGGCTTTTTACCAGTATTCCCCCTTTTGCAATTCTCCACCAAAATGTTATACCAATAAAATAAAAACCAACAGGAACTTTTAAAAGGGGAAAAGGCAAAATACCACATTTATTGTGAATACAGAAAGAATCATAGTAAGCAGTTAGTTATAGCGATAACATTCCATTCCATTTCATTTCATATTTATTCACACATTCATTCATACACACACACACACACACACACACAGAGGTTCTACAAGGTTATTATCATAGTTACCAGCCTTAGAGTTGCTTATGCCAAGCCACTGGCCAGGTGGCCTGGACACGAGGAGGGAGCAGGGCCTCGTCAGATGCTCATCTGATGCTCCTGGAAGTTGGTTTGCAGAATCAGACCCCAAAGTTCTCACTTTCTAGAGTCCATTTTTATAGGAATTTCTTCCTATGACAGTCTATGGGAATTGCTTCTGAATCAATCAGCAGATGGCACATTCCTGACGGCTCCGTGCTGCCAGATGTTATCTTGTTCTTTGGTTCTCCCATTCTTGTGGCTGTTGGGTGGATTCCAGTCTGCCCTCCGGGGGTCCTCTGGTTATTTCCACTTGTCACCTTCTTCAGCCGATGGACACTGGATTCTTAGGCTGGCACCTCCCTGATCATTCAGTTGTTATCCACACCAAGCATTCATCCACATACATCCTGTATCTCTATTTTAATCACAATTGTTAACAAAGCGAGATGAATACAACAAAAGGGCGGGGAGTCTCTGGGTGTTGTTTCTGTTGTTACAGAGTATTGCTTTGAGTCTCTCTCTGTGTGAGTAGTTGTTGTTACAAAGAATTGCTTTGAGAACAGACTCTGTCTTAGAATGTACTAACACAATTAGCAGCTTGCAAGTTTCACACAGAGAGGGAGAGACACAGTACCAAAAACCAAGAGACCTCTTAATTAGTAATACCCTGGAATTTAAACTATGGGGAATCAAACTCATTTGTGATTTTAATACAGAACTTCTTTAATATGATCCAGCACAGGAGGTCCAACTAGATGAGCACAATGGTCCCTTCTGGCCTTGGCATTCATGAATTTCCCATCACTTGGAGTCTTTAAACCAAGGTGCATGTCTTCCAGAAGAGACACTCTAGTTCCGCTGCAAGTTCCTGGGCCTGATGCAGGAATTCCAGGCCCTGTGCTCTGCAGGAGGTCACACGAGAGCGTAATGATTCCTTCTGGTCTTAAAATCTATGAATCTATGAAATACTTAAAGCAAATAAAGACAGATGCTATGAAACAATTATACAGAACCTGGGGTGAAGTTCCATGAAAGGAGAGCAGTGTTATTTTTACCTTGCTTTTATCTACGTCAGGAGTGGGCAAACTTTTTGGCTCGAGGGCCACATCAGGGGTGCAAAACTGTATGGAGGGCCAGGTAGGGAAGGCTGTGCCTCCCCAAACAGCCTGGCCCCTGCCCCCATCTGCCCCCTGACTGCCCCCCTCAGAACCTCCAACCCATTCAATCCCCCCTGCTCCTTGTCCCCTGACCGCCCCCTCCTGGGACCCCTGCCCCTAACCACCCCCCAGGATCCCGCCCCCCAGGATCCCACCCCCCATCCAACCCCCCCCACTCCCTGACCACCCCACCCCATCCAACTGCTCCCTGCTCCCTGTCCCCTGACTGCCCCCCAGATCCTCCTGCCCCTTATCCAACCCCCCTGCTCCCTGCCCCCTTATCATGCCTCTCAGAGCAGCAGGAGCTCGCAGCTATGCCACCGCATTCCCCAGCAGGAGAGGTGGGCCAGAGCTCCGGCGGCGCAGCAAACTGAGGCTGCGGGGGAGGGGAGACAGCAGGGGAGGGGCCGGGGGCGAGCCTCCCCTACCGGGAGCTCAAGGGCCAGGCAGGACGGTCCCGCGGGCCAGATGTGGCCCATGGGCCGTAGTTTACCCACCTCTGATCTACATGATTCTAAATCAAGACAAAAATGCAGTTTGGGTTCAGTTAACAGAAAGAGGCACGAAAACCCACCAGTCTCCTGCGGTGTGGAATGTTTGCTGCAGAAATCCAACGTCTGTGAAATAGGATTTCCTGGCATTGTCTCACTGCTGTGACTTTGCACACCCTTTAGCATGAAAAACAAATCAGCTGCAGACCTGGTCCTGAATGAAGTTGCTAAGAGTATACAACAGTATCCTGTGAATTTCCATGGGGCTCGGATCATTACAGGGGCAGAGGAAGGCGCCTATGGCTGGATCACCATCAACTATCTGCTGGACTCCTTCACCAAGGTGTGGCTAGTGGGAAATGGAAACACCCATCTCTGCTATTGTTATTATTTTAGATTCTTAAATGCGTAAATTAATTCAGGCTTATGAAAGGTACTGGATTGACAGCAGCCCACAATGATAATGCCCAGGAAGGACTGGATAGAAACTATCTAACTTTGCATGGAGGCTACGGCACCAAGCAGCCGTCAGATGGTAACAACTTTCAGACTCGTTACTGCTAGTAACATAGGGGTGAAAGGTTCCTTATCCCATTACAGTATCAATCCCCAAGCCTGCCAGCTCCCTGTATTCCAGCATGATGTAATATCATTCTCAGAGGATGTATCATTTAAAAACCCCATGACCAATAAGCTATTGACACCTCAGTACAGCAATTATCCCAGAGACAGTATCAGATGACACAGACACAAACAAACCTGCCATTTTTAAGCCTACAGATGAAAGAGAAGCAAAAATTATAAATAAGTTTCCCTGGTAAACACAAAAAGGAAATCAAGGGTCACTCCTGGGTGAAACCAGATCAAATTTCAGTTCCAAATGTTTTCAGAGGCTATATTTTCAGATTCTGTAGGCAGGTGACTTTTGCAGTGCAGTTAACCCCTTCTGTTTTATTCTATTTGATTCAATTCAATTTGATTTTATACTGGTTCTTATACAGCCCGCATCCCATAGGAATAACTCAAGACTGGAGCTGTCTCTCCATGTGATCCCTGTTTTGTCTTGGCAGTATTCTCCCAGACAACGTGACTGGATCCATCCTCAATCAGCCAAGATCCTGGGTGCACTGGACCTTGGAGGAGCATCGACCCAAATCAGCTTTATCCCCCTTGGTCCAATTACCGACCAGACAAAAGCCTCTAAGTTCATGCTCTATGGGTTTAACTACACTATCTACACACACAGCTATCTCTGCTATGGACAGAATCAGGCGCTGAAGCAGCTGATCCTGAAAATAACAGAAGTGAGAGAACATTTGGTGGCAGTTTGACTCTACCCTCATTCTATCAATGGGATTTTGTTTCTATTAAATGCAAATGGGAGCGCACGGAGAGGCATCAGAGGGGATTTAGCACCTGCAGCAGGCTCCATGGGGGTGCGGGGTGAAGAGCAGCATCTGGTATAAAGCAGGCCTGTGGAGGGGAGCAGGAGTTTGAAGCGGGGAAATTTTTCAAGGTCTCTCTGGGAGGCAAGGAGAGAAGCAGGGGCTTGGCTGATGGAGGCCTTGTAAGGCAGGAACAGTGGGGAGAACAGGAAGGTTCTAAGTTGACTGATGCTGCCCTTCTGAGATGTGCAAGGGAGGAGGAGGAGATGCCATCTCCAGAGGTTGCAGAAATACCTACGGGCTGTGGGGACCCTGAGCTAGAGCCAGGGCGGGGGGCTTGTCAAGGCGGAAGACACTGCCAGGGTTCAGGGACTCTAGCATTGTCTACCATTCAGCCTCCTGCTTGAAAGGGATTCAGTGGGGATCACACTCACCTTAGAGGCCACATGGCCATGAGGGTTTGTGCGTGATGCCGAAGGACCTGAATTGCACTTTGCCAGATGAGCTGGGGAGGCTGCTGGGTCTCCGAGGCTTGGCAACACCTGTAGCCTCCAAGAGCCCCTGCACTCTTCTCCCATGCAGCTCAGTGTGCATCCAGAGCCGCAAGAGGCTTGCATGAGAGGAAAAGCAGGGGGCTGCAGGTGCACAGATAGGTCTGGGTCTGACAAAGCCAACAATACATCTGATGATGATACAACTCCATAGTAAGAAGCCCCAGCAGCTGGGCCAGTGGCCTTGAAAGGAAAATCTCTCACTGAGCTGCCTGCCAGTCCTGTCTGACTCCCAGTATGTTCCTATCCCTAGCTGGGATGCCCCATCAGGTTTAATGAGGGCAGGGGATAGGAATGAGTCTTCACTCTACAAATGACCATGTGATTTCACTGTTCCCAGAACATGATGGTCCAGGGCTCTGTTAATCACCCTTGCTACCCTGAAGGATACCAGGAAACCATCAAAGCAGCTTCCATTCACAGCATCCCCTGCACGGCCTCTCATCTGCAGACCCTGTCCCAAGCCTCCTGGAACGCCACGCTGGTGGGCACAGGGAATGCCACTGAGTGCCGTATGGCCATCAAACAGATCTTCAACTTCACGGCATGTGGCCAGAGTCAGTCCTGCACATTCGATGGGATCTACCAGCCCCCGGTCAACGGGGAGTTCTTTGTAAGGCAAATCCTCTCTGACCCCTCTTCTGAACAATCTCTAAACCCTTGTTCTCTTTGAGTGCCCCTTTGTGCCCCTTCAGAGAGGCTGAGTGTGCCTCCCTCACAGCCCCTAATTGCCCAGGACTGAGCTGGAGCCCCAAACTCAGATGCAGCAAACCCAAACCAGCCCTTTCAGACAACTGTGCATGGCTGACCAGGGTGAGAAGTGCATCTCACCACACCCAGGAGCATTTCAGGCTGGCTGCTGCCCTGAGCAAAGGGAATGCAGCTTCTTATGTGCCAGCACAGAGAGGGAACGTGTATTGCAAAACAGAAATCATAGCGCTTTTGAGAATGGAGTGGTGACCTGGCCCAGGGTGACCCTTCACTTGCAGTGGTAGGTAAATGGAAGGGAGAGGAACTTTCCAGGGAAAATTTCAACTTTGTGTTGAAAACCCCAGGGTTGGTTTTTTGGGGATGGGTGTTTGTTTGTTTGTTTTGAGATTTGTTGATCACAATGACGTCTTATTTCAGTTTGTGGAAGCAAATTTAAATATTTCATTTGGCTTGGTCAACATTAAACGACATCCTCTGGAGCTGCTGCTTTGACATGCAAATTATAGTTCGGGTGTCTCATGCCCCATTCTCCTGTCGGGGCTGGACTCTCTGTCTGGACTCTCATTTCCCATCCCATTGTCTCCCCATTCTTGCTGGTGCATCATGGGAGTCCCATGGAGGTGTAGGCCGGCTGGGTTGCACAGCCCATGGAGGAGAAAGGGGATGAGGTACCGGAACTACAATTCCCATGAGGCACTGAAAATTTCTGAATCAAAATTGCCAGTTTGTCGGTGTTTGTGTAACCTTTGTGTGTGCTAGAGTTCACTTCATAGCCTTTCTCCAGTGCCCAAAACAACCCACAACTCACAAAGAAAAGCAGCTGGAGACCCAGAATTCAGCCTCTAAGGATTTTCAGCCAGGAGACTGCACAGGGTCAATCTCCCCAAATTCAAGTCCCAAAATGAATTAATTAAGTGCCTACTTTATAAAATCTTATAAAGAAACATAATAAATAATAACTTAGATTTTAAAACATAACATGGCTATTTTATAATCCACATACATTATCTTCACAGTTATACATAAAGAAAACAAATCTAAACAGATCAGTCCACACAGAAACACTGTGAGAAGAAACTCAGGGCTGGTCTCCACTACTGGGGACACTGTCAATTTAGCGGGTCTAGTGAAGACCCACTAAATCGATGGCAGAGCACTCTCTGGTTGACCTCGGTACTCCAGCTCTCCGAGAAGAGTAAGGGAAGTCGACCAGAGAGCGTTTCCGGTTGATGCAGTGCAGTGAAGACACTGGGGTAAGTCAACCTAATCTACATCGAGTCCAGCTATGTTATTATAGAATCATAGAATATCAGGGTTGGAAGGGACCTCAGGAGGTCATCTAGTCCAACCCCCTGCTCAAAGCAGGACCAATCCCCAACTAAATCATCCCAGCCAGGGCTTTGTCAAGCCAGACCTTAAAAATCTCTAAGGATGGAGATTCCACCACCTCCGTAGGTATTCACGTAGCTGGAGTAACATAACTTAGGTCGACTTACCCCCATAGTGAAGACAAGCCCTCAGAGTTCCCAAAAGCTTAGGTTGAGTTCACCTGAGTTTCTGATTACCAAAGTTACAGTCTGCTGAGTCAAAAGCAACATCTTCCCTCCACTTGCCTGTAGGAATCTTCAGCTGGACTCCATGCAGACTCTTCCTCCTCCTCTGCTGACATCACTGTTAGCCAGTCAACTAACTGATTAACTCAGTAAAGTATATTGATTTTGAAAAAACCCTGTTACAAGAACATACAAAACAGAGACTAGCAAAATAGAAATGACTCCTTCCCCAAAAGTTGGTGAATTGCACTAGTTGAGACAATTTAAATAAAACAGGTTGTCTAAAATCAGGCAACATTCCAAGTATACAATTAAAATAAGAGAAATTAACTTTCCCTCCCAATTTCCGCTTTCTATAATTAACACTGCCCATGCTTCCCTGCTGGAGGGTTAACAACATCATCGAGTTAGGGCAAACAGCTGCTTCCTGCTCCTGGGCTCAGCTTCTCCAGCCTGCACAGAGCACCTGGCCTTGTGCAAAGCCCTGCCCTGACCACTCGCCCTCATGGAGCCTGACCCCAGCAACAGGGAATGGAGCAGACCCAAACCAGCCACACCCAATTCCAGAGGCTTCTGGGTGGGGAGTGCTACATCCGCCTAGCAACAATGACCCAGACACAACTCACTGCTACCCAGCCCCCCGAACAGGTCTCTTAGAGATATCTCCCTATTAGCCACATGGGTGACATTTGTTTTTTCCACAAACAGTCAAAATTTTCCCTGGAAACCAGACACTCTTCATGAAAAACTGTGTTAAGTCTAAAACCCAATTTTCTGTCGCAAAATACTATTGACAGAAGAGTTTCAACCAAGCCTACTCCTTCATCCCTTTAAACTTGGAAAGCATCTCCTTCTCCCCCTGACAACAGTAATGCTTAGCACTTACAGCTCAGTAATGCAAAAGCAGTTTACATAAGAACATGTGCTCAATTATCCCCAAATTACCCCTTGGGATACAGACACAAAGAGGGGATGGGATTAGGGTTGCCAACAGTTCGGTTTCTCCCAAACCGTCTGGGTTTCGGCAATAATAATAGATGTCTCGAGACATCTAGACAGACGTATGTGCAGTGCTGGGGAGGAGCCGGTGGTCGTGGTACATGTAGGTACCAATGACATCAGGAAGGATAGGAGAGAGGTCCTGGACGCCAAATTAGGCTGCTAGGTAAGAGATTGAAGTCCAGGACCTCCATAGTAACATTCTCTGAGATGCTCCCTGTTCCACGCACAGGGCCAGTTAGACAGAAGTGCAGGGTCTCAATGCATGGATGAGATGATGGTGTAGGGAGGAGGGGCTTAGATGTATTAGGAACTGGGGAAACTTTTGGGAAAGGGGGAGCGTATACAGGAAGGATGGGCTCCACCTAAACCAAAATGGAACCAGAGGGCTGGCACTTAACATTAAAAAGGTCGTAGAGCAGTTTTTAAACTAAGGGCTGGGGGAAAGGCGACAGGTGCGGAGGAGCACGTGGTTCAGACATCCCTTAGGGGAGGATCTATTAATAGAGTATCTCTATGTCCTTGTGAGGACAAGAGGATGGAAAAAGATAAAATACAGGCAGGGTCTGATCAGACACAATCAAATAAAAAAAAGTCCCATTCAATTACATCGTATAAGGGCAGACAGCTAAAGGGGCACAAGTTTTTAAAGTGCTTATATACCAATGCTAGAAATCTAAATAATAAAATGGGTGAACCTCGTATTAAATGAGGATATTGATATAATAGGCAACACAGAGACTTGGTGGAATGAGGATAATCAGTGGGATACAGTAATACCAGGGTACAGAATATATCGAAAGGACAGAACAGGTCGTGCTGGTGGGGGAGTAGCATTATATGTGAAAGAAAGCATAGCATCAATTGAAGTAAAAATTGTAAATGAATCAAACTGTGCCATAGAATCTCTATGGATAGAAATGCCATGCTCTAATAATAAGAATATAGCAGTGGGGATATATTACCGACCACCTGACCAGGATGGTGATACTGACTGTGAAATGCTCAGGGAGATTAGAGAGGCTATTAAAATAAAAAACTCAATAATAATGGGGGATTTCAACTATCACCATATTGACTGGGTACATGTCACCTTAGGATGGGATGCAGAGATAAAGTTTCTTGATACCTTAAATGACGGCTTCTTGGAGCAGCTTGAACAAACAGGAGGAGAGGCAATGCTTGATTTAGTCCTAAGTGGAGCACAGGATCAGGTCCAAGAGGTGAATAGAGCTGGACCGCTTGGTAATAGTGACCATAATATAATTAAATTTAACATCCCTGTGGCAGAAAAAACACCATAGCGGCCCACCATGGTAGCATTTAATTTCAGAAAGGGGAACTACACAAAATTTAGGAGGTTAGTTAAACAGAAATTAAAGGGTCCAGCGCCAAAAGTGAAATCTCTGTGAGCTGCGTGGAAACTTTTTAAAGACACCATAATAGAGGCTCAACTTAAATGTATACCCCAAATTAAAAAACATAGAAAAGAGCCACCGTGACTAAACAACAAAGGAAAAGACGCAGTGAGAGGCAAAAAGGCATCCTTTAAAAAGTGGAAATTAAATCCTAGTGAGGAAAATAGAAAGGAGCATAAACACTGGCAAATGAAATGTAAAAATACAATTAGGAAGGCCAAAAAAGAATCTGAGGAACAGCCGGCCAAGCACTCAAAAAGTAATGGTAATTTTTTTTTTAAGTACATCAGAAGCAGGAAGCTGCTAAACAACCCGTGGAGCCACTGGATGATCAAGGCGCTAAAGGAGCACTCAAGGATGATAAGGCCATTGCAGAGAAAATAAATTCTTTGCATTGGTCTTCACAGCTGAGGATGTGAGGGAGATTCCCAAACCTGAGCCATTCTTTCTAGGTGACAGATCTGAGGAACTCTGAAACAGATCTGAGAAACTGTCCCAAACTGAGGTATCATTAGAGGAGGATTTAGAACAAATTGATAAATTAAACAGCAATAAATCACCAGGACCAGATTGAAGAGTTCTGAAGGAACTCAAATGTGAAACTGCAGAACTACTAACTGTAGTCTGTAATCTATCATTTAAATCAGCTTCTATACCAGATGACTGGAGTATAGCTAATATGATGCCAATTTTTACAAAGGGGTGATCACGGCAATTACAGGCCTGTAAGCCTGACTTCAGTACCAGGCAAACTGGTTGAAATCATAGAATCATAGAATATAAGGGTTGGAAGGGACCTCAGGAGGTCATCTAGTCCAACCCCCTGCTCAAAGCAGGACCGATCCCCAACTAAATCACCCCAGCCAGGGCTTTGTCAAGTCTGACCTTAAAAACTTCTAAGGAAGGAGATTCCCCCACCTCCCTAGGTAACG